GTCTCCTCCGAAAACTGGCAGTCTGCCACTCGTAGCACGCTTGCTAGGTCAACACCAAACTTAAAGCCCAAGACTCACCTCAACGAGTTTGAGGTAATCACGGACGTCAGTCTGCTGCATGAACCTGCTCCCCTCAGAGCTGTAGAACTCCGCAGTCTCCTCTAGAAACTGCCGCTCGAAGCTGCTGCTGTACACACCCAGCGCTGAAAACATGCCCACCAAATTCTTCAGCAGCGACCGATCCACCGTATCTCCGGATCTGCATGGAGAAAAAGGAGGTGGGGAAGGGAGGCAGGAGGGAGGGAGGAAGGGAAGGATGGGTTTTCAGCTCGAAGCTGCTGCGGTACACTCCCAGCGCTGAAAACATCCTGACAAGGTTCTTCAGCAGTGAGCGATCCACTGTGTCGCCAGACCTGTACGCATACAGCAGCAGCAGTGCAAAGAACGAGGGGAGGGGAACGAGGCCAGTCATTGCCGAGAAGTGGCAACTCCACTCTTTCTTCCAAGAACTGCCGCTCGAAGCTGCTGCCGTACACGACCAGGCTCTTCAGCAGCGACCGGTCCACTGTGGAAAAAGTGTCGTGTGAAATTGTAACGAGGTGACTTTTGAGTCGACTCAAAAGTCTACCGCTCGAAGCTGCTGCGGTACACGACCAGGATCTTCAGCGACGACTGGTCCACTGTGTCCCCGGATCTGCATGGGAGAAAAGGAGGTGGGGAAGGGAGGCAGGAAGGAGAGTGGGTAGGGTGGGTGTTCAGCTCGAAGCTCCTGCTGTACACTCCCAGCACTGAGAACATGCCCACGAGGTTCTTCAGCAGAGTCCGGTCCACTGTGTCACCAGACCTGCACAAGGAAGGGAAGAGGTAAGACCAGTAGCGAAGGCAGGAAGAACAGACGGATGGGTGTTCAATTCGAAGCCGCTGCTGTCCACGCCCAGCGCCGAGAACAGCAGCAGTGTTGGTGCTCGCTAACCAGGTTCTTCTAAAGTTACCAGTTTATTGTGCCTCCGAATCTGTGGGCGGGGGGGAAGAGAGGGCAATGAAGGAGGTGTAAGGAGGAAGGGGACTCAGCGGCGAGAACATCCCCCCACCAGGATCTTCAGCAGCGAACGATCCACCATGTCAGCGCCTCTCCACCTCAAGTACCCGTTCCAGTCTAGATGCCTTAGAAAACACCACCATGACTTGAGAGAACAACAGCCCACTTCCCTACAACATAGTCAACACAACCCAACAACAACAAGGAAGGGAGGAAGGGGATGCAGCAAGCACACGGCCCCCACCTTTCACGTTCAATAAGCTGCAGCAGCCCAGCCACGGTCCGCCTCTCCACCTCAGGCACCCCCTCCAGATGGGACCGGAACAGCCTCAGCCCCATCTCCCACAGCGACTGCACACCCGCCTTTGATGCCTCTTGTGGAGGAGGGGGGAATGCAGCAAGCACACGGCACCCACCTTTCACGTTCAATAAGCTGCAGCAGCCCCGTGACGGTCCGCCTCACCACCTCAGTTACCCCCTCCAGATGGGACCGGAACAGCCTGAGCCCCATGTCCCACAGCGACTGCACGCCCGCCCCTCCTCTCCTTTGACCTTGATTGAAGCGCCTCAAAAGCAACAAGCACCCACCTTTCCCTCTCGATCAGTTGCAGTAGGCCTGCCACAGTTCGCCTCTCCACCTCAGGCACCCCCTCCAGATGGGACCGGAACAGCCTCAGCCCCATGTCCCACAGCGACTGCACGCCCGCGCCCGACGCCTGCATCGCGAACGTACGGTCCAGATATAGCGCGATCGACCGGATCATGAGCATCTGCTCGCAGAAATCGCGCCACGTGGCAGCCACGTGCTCCAGGAAGAGGACTGGGTCGGGGGAGCCCTGGGCGAGGAGCAGTTGGAGCTTGGCTGCGATGTGGCGATCGCATTCGGCCTGCAGACGCGAGTACAGCCCTGCTGCCATCTTGTGCAAACACAACCCCTCCACTGCCTGTCCAGAGGGGGGCGGGAGAGAGAGCGGGGCCGAGGAGAAGGAGAAGGGTGTTGGAGGCAGGGACGTGGGAAAGAGAAGGGTGGATACGGAGAAGGATGGGAACAGTGTGCTGCTGACAAGCAGGCACGTGGGAGAGGAAAGACACGGGTTCGGGGAGCCTTGGGCTAGGAGCAGTTGGAGCTTGGTTGCGATGTGGCAGTCGCCTTCAGCCTCAAGCTGCTTGTGTGTAACTTTTGTCGGAAAAGTATATCTTCGAGCCCAAATCAATCATTATAGTCACTAGCTAGCCACCTTACATGCTTGCATTTCATTCATCATCCCCAGCATACCTAATCCCATCATGCCCAGCACACATATACCCACAACGCCTCCCATACTTCCCCCCTCCCCCCCCATCTTACCCGGTACAGCTCCTCCAGGCTGCACGAAACCGCTCGTTTTTCGTGAATGGCGGTAACCGCCTCTCTCAGCTTCGCCCATGTCGTCTCCTCGTAATCTGGGGGCAGCTGGGGCTTGGCTGGTGGGGGGGGATGGGGTCCGGACGAGAGGAGAGGAGGGGGAGGACAGGAGTGGGAAGACAGGGAGGAGAAGGAGAAGAGGGAGGAGACAGAGAGGGAGGAGAGGGAGGAGAGGGAGGAGAGGAAGGAGAAGAACAGAGGAAGAAACGGGAGGAGAGGGGGAATGTTGAGAGCAGGAAAGGTAACCAATCTGGCCATAGACAATACTGGATCTAGAGATTGCAGGTGGCAAATGCTGGTATGAGGGATCGCTGGCATGAAGCAGTTACAACAAAGAAAATATTATCGTCAAGGCGATATTCATGTGGACGGGGTTAAGGGCGAAGCCAGTGTGCACATGTGGGCCCACAGTGCAGCACGAGAGAAAAAGGGAATTTAATCAGGAGGAGCAGCTCCACAGGGACCACCGATTCAAAGGTGCGGCGGGGTACAGGGCGGTGCCATGCCAGCATAAAGCAAGAGGAAACGTGAAGTGCTAAGTCGGTGAGTGATCTCACGGGGTAAGGGAAAATAAAGGAAGAGTCAGGGTTAAGGGGTGTTTAATGAATCTGACAGGGAGGGGTAGAGAGGTAAAGAGGCGTTAGATGAATCAGGTGATCATAACGGGGAGAGGACGAGGAAGAGTGAGGGAAACATGAAGAACCATGACGCGTGTATCAGGTGTGACTATAACGGTGGCACGTGTGAGTGAAAAAATGAGGTTAGTGAAAAAGAGGGTACCTTTGAAGGCTTTTATGACCAGCTTCCTTCCCTGCTGCGGCCCGCCAGTCGCGTTCTTCTGCGATCCTGACGAATTGCTCTGAGCTCCATTTTTCAATCCGACGGCGCTCGCTCCTCCTCGTGTGCTGCCGTTTCCGCCGACGAATTTCGGAGCTCCGTCAGCTGCTCGTGCGGAAGCTCTGGACGGACCTGACGGCGGATCCAGGTCCATGGGTTCGCGAAATCGTGTGCGACGAGTAACGAATGACCACCTGGACTACTCCATTCGCGATTCACTAGGCGAGTTACGGCTGGGTGAATTCTCGCTGGCTTGTTACTAGATTCGCAGAGAGCGATCTAGAACAAATTCGAGGACTCCAAGACTAAGACAGAAAAAATGAAGTGATTGATTGAATTCCGCCGGAAACGCGAATGTCGGCAGTCAACGTTCAACCACGACAGGGTTACCGGTGTTATTCCTTATTAACCTACTCTCCACGAGGAGGCTACACGATGGACAACGTTTCCACAGCCCGGTTCCGAATCTCGAATCGTTTTCCTCGAGTTCAAGTCGAGATGAAGAGCTGAGACAAATGACAAACCTAATCTCCTATCCACGGCTAAATCGTTAACAAGGAGTTAGTAATTCTCTCTAGTGGCTCAATATGTATGGGTTTCGAGCTGCGACTTCCTCCTATATGGCGAGTTAGGAACAAAGAGGATCTGCTCCCTCGATGTTGTTTAGTTTTAGAATCTTCTATGGACTAGTACACTCGACTATGCGATACAGTCTGTACCAGACAATGCCATTTTCCGTTACACAGCTCTTCCGTCAGTCCAATCTTGACTTTCAAGAATAATGAAACCAGTGTCTGCATACACTAGCTAATATCTTAGAATCTTCTGAGGCAAACTCAGCAAAATATATTAAGAATGTATTCTAAGAATACGCAGGATACATCAAGAGCAGTAGTCTTACAAAAATTAGACAGCTGGATGGCCATGGAGAAGCCAATCAAGCACTTAATTGTGTGCTTTTACACAAAGACACGTCAACTAAGTGATAAAAAAGAAAACATTTATATAATCGGTTTTGATTCTCATTTTTCACAGACAACTCTCTAGTATTTGTTTTGTAAAATGAAGATGGTTGTAACTCTGAATGTTGTAAACATGTGCTATCCAATCGTTTTTGTCTTAGGGATGTTCATTTGGGTCCTAAATAATGTAAGCATTTCCACACAAGGGAATTCTGCTGTGTATGTTATGGTAGCGCAAGCCGCGTTCCACTATCGACTAATCCAGCCATCTGACAAGTTGTTCTGACCGTCCATGGTCAGTGAGATGAGATCACATGATTCCAACCGACATCAGGTGCAACAAATCAACGGCTAGTGAAACCGTGAGATTGCAGGGATGAAATCGAAGAACTTTTATTCTGATGCCTCAATCGAGCACATCATGCATTCTTGAAGCCAGCCTCGGAAAGACCGCAACAACTCCTTTCACAAAGCTCTAACTTCATGTTGGCATTTCGTTGCACTGGCAACGATTTCTCGTGAACAACGAGGAGAAAGTGGAACTTGTTGTTCTCCATTTCCTCGCCAGACACATACCACTCCGAGTCTAGTTGCCTGAATTCCAGTCTCTAACGCCCGTAGATTGTGAATTTCATCGTCTTCAGGCTCGTTATCTGCTTAGCACACTACGAATCCGTGACCTTCTTGTCTGAGTAATTTGATTCCCGGCGTCGTCTGAAAGAACACTGACGTGGATTCACGACCAGCTACGTTCCAAATGACGCTGTCGTCGCCACGACTAGATGGCATCGCGAATGGCACCCCGCGTCGCGCCAGCCTGGACAGAACCAACCGTCAGGTCGTGTATCCGACAGCGGAGGAGCGATTGGACGAGCTGCGGAAACGGATGGGGAAGGCGGACGGGGATCCGCTGAAGGTCGTTGGGGTTGGCGCCGGCGCGTGGGGCTGCGTCTTCACGGCAATGATACAGGTGTGTGGACATGACTGCGAGAGTGAAGCTTGACTTCAAATAACGTTTGCGGAGACGGATGGGGAAGGGGGACGGGGAACTGGGGTTGGCGCCGGCGCGTGGGGCTGTGTCTTCACGGCAATGATACAGGTGCGTATCCATCCATGGTGTAGTGAGACGATCTTTTAGGTGCCTCGAAATGATTCTCACCGGGGCTGCGTCTTTTCGGCAATGATACAGGTGTGTGGACGGTTGTGATCATCGACGGTGTAATCTGGAGGATATGTGTTTGTGGGAGTCACGTCGTAGACGGCCCTGATTAGGTAAATGCTAGCGAGATTGAAGGTTAATTCCATGTAACTTCCACGGATCTACACAAGGGTGGAAAGGCACTGGCACTGGTAACACCTCTGGACAACCCCCGTTTTCCCCAGTGGTGTAGGGCTCGGGTTGTTATATCCCGTCTCTGTGGCTTTGATTCCCACTTGTGGGGAAGGGTGCAATCGTAAGGGGTGGATTCATATAGTGACTTTGAGACCTGATTGTGTACATGTTACTCGGTACAGGACCCACATCTTCAAATAGTTTCTCAACGCCGTGATCCATGGCGAAAGTAATCGTTTCATGTGGTGCCTAACCTCGTACTTGCAGGAGACGTACGGCCAATTCAAGGACAAGATCGACGTGCGGATCTGGCTTTGAGACGTCTCAAAAGTAATCGTTCCCATGTGTGTCGTGCCATCTAACCTCGTACATGCAGGAAACGTACGGCCAATTCAAGGACAAGATCGACGTGCGAATCTGGCGACGTGGCGGGCGCGCATTGGACAAGGCGTTCGCACAGAAGTTGTTCAACGTGATCAACGACAGGGAGGACATTCTCCGCCGCTTGATACGCAACTGCGCTTATCTCAAATACGTGGAGGGGCGGCTCGGGGATAGAGCACTGCTAGCTGATGAGATCTTGAGGTCAGTATCTGAGACTGTTTTCCCCTTTTGTACTCCCCGGGATCTTACTGTTTTGAACCTTCCTCCAACCTTCCCCAAACCTCCTCCCTGCTTGTTAATCGCAGTGACGGCTTCTGCATCAATCTAGCTGACACGCCCCTCTGCCCTCTGAATATGGCGACCAATCTGCAAGCAGCGGTGCGGGATGCTTTGTGAGGCGCCTCAAACATTGAACCTTACTCCGAACATCCTCCCTGTTTTTTTTTTTTTTTTTTTTTTTTTTAACACAGGGACGGTTTCTGCGTCAACCTAGCTGACACTCCCCTGTGCCCTCTAAACGTGTTGACCAATCTGCAAGAAGCCGTGAGGGATGCTGACGTCATCATCAACGGGCTGCCGTCCACCGAGACCAGATCCGTGTTCCGCCAGATCGGGCTGTTCTGGCGGGAGAGACGGCGGCCGCCAGCTGTCATCGTGTCATTGGCCAAGGGCGTGGAGGCTGCTATGGAGCCTGAGCCGCACATCGTGACACCGACGCTCATGATTCACCAAGAGAGTGAGTGGGCATCCGAGTGAGTGGGCATCTGAGTGAGTGGGCATCTGAGTGAGTGGGCATCTGAGTTAGTGGGCATCTGAGTGAGTGGGCATCTGAGTGAGTGGGCATCTGAGTTAGTGGGCATCTGAGTGAGTGGGCATCTGAGTGCGTGGGCATCTGAGTTAGTGGGCATCTGAGTGAGTGGGCATCTGAGTGAGTGGGCATCTGAGTGAGTGGGCATCTGAGTGAGTGGGCATCTGAGTGAGTGGGCATCTGAGTGAGTGGGCATCTGAGTTAGTGGGCATCTGAGTGAGTGGGCATCTGAGTGAGTGGGCATCTGAGTGAGTGGGCATCTGAGTGAGTGGGCATCTGAGTTAGTGGGCATCTGAGTGAGTGGGCATCTGAGTGCGTGGGCATCTGAGTGAGTGGGCATCTGAGTGAGTGGGCATCTGAGTGAGTGGGCATCTGAGTGAGTGGGCATCTGAGTGAGTGGGCATCTGAGTGAGTGGGCATCTGAGTTAGTGGGCATCTGAGTGAGTGGGCATCTGAGTGAGTGGGCATCTGAGTGAGTGGGCATCTGAGTGAGTGGGCATCTGAGTGAGTGGGCATCTGAGTGAGTGGGCATCTGAGTGAGTGGGCATCTGAGTTAGTGGGCATCTGAGTGAGTGGGCATCTGAGTGAGTGGGCATCTGAGTGAGTGGGCATCTGAGTGAGTGGGCATCTGAGTGAGTGGGCATCTGAGTTAGTGGGCATCTGAGTGAGTGGGCATCTGAGTGCGTGGGCATCTGAGTGAGTGGGCATCTGAGTGCGTGGGCATCTGAGTGAGTGGGCATCTGAGTGAGTGGGCATCTAAGTGAGTGGGCATCTGAGTGAGTGGGCATCTGAGTGAGTGGGCATCTGAGTTAGTGGGCATCTGAGTGAGTGGGCATCTGAGTGAGTGGGCATCTGAGTGAGTGGGCATCTGAGTGAGTGGGCATCTGAGTGAGTGGGCATCTGAGTGAGTGGGCATCTGAGTGAGTGGGCATCTGAGTTAGTGGGCATCTGAGTGAGTGGGCATCTGAGTGAGTGGGCATCTGAGTGAGTGGGCATCTGAGTGAGTGGGCATCTGAGTGAGTGGGCATCTGAGTTAGTGGGCATCTGAGTGAGTGGGCATCTGAGTGAGTGGGCATCTGAGTGAGTGGGCATCTGAGTGAGTGGGCATCTGAGTGAGTGGGCATCTGAGTTAGTGGGCATCTGAGTGAGTGGGCATCTGAGTGCGTGGGCATCTGAGTGAGTGGGCATCTGAGTGAGTGGGCATCTGAGTGAGTGGGCATCTGAGTGAGTGGGCATCTGAGTGAGTGGGCATCTGAGTTAGTGGGCATCTGAGTTAGTGGGCATCTGAGTGAGTGGGCATCTGAGTGAGTGGGCATCTGAGTGAGTGGGCATCTGAGTGAGTGGGCATCTGAGTGAGTGGGCATCTGAGTGAGTGGGCATCTGAGTTAGTGGGCATCTGAGTGAGTGGGCATCTGAGTGCGTGGGCATCTGAGTGAGTGGGCATCTGAGTGAGTGGGCATCTGAGTGAGTGGGCATCTGAGTGAGTGGGCATCTGAGTGAGTGGGCATCTGAGTGAGTGGGCATCTGAGTGAGTGGGCATCTGAGTGAGTGGGCATCTGAGTTAGTGGGCATCTGAGTGAGTGGGCATCTGAGTGCGTGGGCATCTGAGTTAGTGGGCATCTGAGTGAGTGGGCATCTGAGTTAGTGGGCATCTGAGTGAGTGGGCATCTGAGTTAGTGGGCATCTGAGTGAGTGGGCATCTGAGTGAGTGGGCATCTGAGTGCGTGGGCATCTGAGTTAGTGGGCATCTGAGTGAGTGGGCATCTGAGTGCGTGGGCATCTGAGTGAGTGGGCATCTGAGTGAGTGGGCATCTGAGTTAGTGGGCATCTGAGTGAGTGGGCATCTGAGTGAGTGGGCATCTGAGTTAGTGGGCATCTGAGTGAGTGGGCATCTGAGTGAGTGGGCATCTGAGTGAGTGGGCATCTGAGTGAGTGGGCATCTGAGTGAGTGGGCATCTGAGTGAGTGGGCATCTGAGTGAGTGGGCATCTGAGTTAGTGGGCATCTGAGTGAGTGGGCATCTGAGTTAGTGGGCATCTGAGTGAGTGGGCATCTGAGTGAGTGGGCATCTGAGTTAGTGGGCATCTGAGTGAGTGGGCATCTGAGTGAGTGGGCATCTGAGTGAGTGGGCATCTGAGTGAGTGGGCATCTGAGTGCGTGGGCATCTGAGTTAGTGGGCATCTGAGTGAGTGGGCATCTGAGTGCGTGGGCATCTGAGTTAGTGGGCATCTGAGTGAGTGGGCATCTGAGTTAGTGGGCATCTGAGTGAGTGGGCATCTGAGTTAGTGGGCATCTGAGTGAGTGGGCATCTGAGTGAGTGGGCATCTGAGTGAGTGGGCATCTGAGTGAGTGGGCATCTGAGTTAGTGGGCATCTGAGTTAGTGGGCATCTGAGTGAGTGGGCATCTGAGTGAGTGGGCATCTGAGTGAGTGGGCATCTGAGTGAGTGGGCATCTGAGTGAGTGGGCATCTGAGTGAGTGGGCATCTGAGTTAGTGGGCATCTGAGTGAGTGGGCATCTGAGTGCGTGGGCATCTGAGTGAGTGGGCATCTGAGTGAGTGGGCATCTGAGTGAGTGGGCATCTGAGTGAGTGGGCATCTGAGTGAGTGGGCATCTGAGTGAGTGGGCATCTGAGTGAGTGGGCATCTGAGTGAGTGGGCATCTGAGTTAGTGGGCATCTGAGTGAGTGGGCATCTGAGTGCGTGGGCATCTGAGTTAGTGGGCATCTGAGTGAGTGGGCATCTGAGTTAGTGGGCATCTGAGTGAGTGGGCATCTGAGTTAGTGGGCATCTGAGTGAGTGGGCATCTGAGTGAGTGGGCATCTGAGTGCGTGGGCATCTGAGTTAGTGGGCATCTGAGTGAGTGGGCATCTGAGTGCGTGGGCATCTGAGTGAGTGGGCATCTGAGTGAGTGGGCATCTGAGTTAGTGGGCATCTGAGTGAGTGGGCATCTGAGTGAGTGGGCATCTGAGTTAGTGGGCATCTGAGTGAGTGGGCATCTGAGTGAGTGGGCATCTGAGTGAGTGGGCATCTGAGTGAGTGGGCATCTGAGTGAGTGGGCATCTGAGTGAGTGGGCATCTGAGTGAGTGGGCATCTGAGTTAGTGGGCATCTGAGTGAGTGGGCATCTGAGTGCGTGGGCATCTGAGTGAGTGGGCATCTGAGTGAGTGGGCATCTGAGTGAGTGGGCATCTGAGTGAGTGGGCATCTGAGTGAGTGGGCATCTGAGTGAGTGGGCATCTGAGTGAGTGGGCATCTGAGTGAGTGGGCATCTGAGTTAGTGGGCATCTGAGTGAGTGGGCATCTGAGTGCGTGGGCATCTGAGTTAGTGGGCATCTGAGTGAGTGGGCATCTGAGTTAGTGGGCATCTGAGTGAGTGGGCATCTGAGTTAGTGGGCATCTGAGTGAGTGGGCATCTGAGTGAGTGGGCATCTGAGTGCGTGGGCATCTGAGTTAGTGGGCATCTGAGTGAGTGGGCATCTGAGTGCGTGGGCATCTGAGTGAGTGGGCATCTGAGTGAGTGGGCATCTGAGTTAGTGGGCATCTGAGTGAGTGGGCATCTGAGTGAGTGGGCATCTGAGTTAGTGGGCATCTGAGTGAGTGGGCATCTGAGTGAGTGGGCATCTGAGTGAGTGGGCATCTGAGTGAGTGGGCATCTGAGTGAGTGGGCATCTGAGTGAGTGGGCATCTGAGTGAGTGGGCATCTGAGTTAGTGGGCATCTGAGTGAGTGGGCATCTGAGTTAGTGGGCATCTGAGTGAGTGGGCATCTGAGTGAGTGGGCATCTGAGTTAGTGGGCATCTGAGTGAGTGGGCATCTGAGTGAGTGGGCATCTGAGTGAGTGGGCATCTGAGTGAGTGGGCATCTGAGTGAGTGGGCATCTGAGTGAGTGGGCATCTGAGTTAGTGGGCATCTGAGTGCGTGGGCATCTGAGTTAGTGGGCATCTGAGTGAGTGGGCATCTGAGTGCGTGGGCATCTGAGTTAGTGGGCATCTGAGTGAGTGGGCATCTGAGTTAGTGGGCATCTGAGTGAGTGGGCATCTGAGTTAGTGGGCATCTGAGTGAGTGGGCATCTGAGTGAGTGGGCATCTGAGTGAGTGGGCATCTGAGTGAGTGGGCATCTGAGTTAGTGGGCATCTGAGTTAGTGGGCATCTGAGTGAGTGGGCATCTGAGTGAGTGGGCATCTGAGTGAGTGGGCATCTGAGTGAGTGGGCATCTGAGTGAGTGGGCATCTGAGTGAGTGGGCATCTGAGTTAGTGGGCATCTGAGTGAGTGGGCATCTGTGTGCGTGGGCATCTGAGTGAGTGGGCATCTGAGTGAGTGGGCATCTGAGTGAGTGGGCATCTGAGTGAGTGGGCATCTGAGTGAGTGGGCATCTGAGTGAGTGGGCATCTGAGTGAGTGGGCATCTGAGTGAGTGGGCATCTGAGTTAGTGGGCATCTGAGTGAGTGGGCATCTGAGTGCGTGGGCATCTGAGTTAGTGGGCATCTGAGTGAGTGGGCATCTGAGTTAGTGGGCATCTGAGTGAGTGGGCATCTGAGTTAGTGGGCATCTGAGTGAGTGGGCATCTGAGTGAGTGGGCATCTGAGTGCGTGGGCATCTGAGTTAGTGGGCATCTGAGTGAGTGGGCATCTGAGTGCGTGGGCATCTGAGTGAGTGGGCATCTGAGTGAGTGGGCATCTGAGTTAGTGGGCATCTGAGTGAGTGGGCATCTGAGTGAGTGGGCATCTGAGTTAGTGGGCATCTGAGTGAGTGGGCATCTGAGTGAGTGGGCATCTGAGTGAGTGGGCATCTGAGTGAGTGGGCATCTGAGTGAGTGGGCATCTGAGTGAGTGGGCATCTGAGTGAGTGGGCATCTGAGTTAGTGGGCATCTGAGTGAGTGGGCATCTGAGTGCGTGGGCATCTGAGTGAGTGGGCATCTGAGTGAGTGGGCATCTGAGTGAGTGGGCATCTGAGTGAGTGGGCATCTGAGTGAGTGGGCATCTGAGTGAGTGGGCATCTGAGTGAGTGGGCATCTGAGTGAGTGGGCATCTGAGTTAGTGGGCATCTGAGTGAGTGGGCATCTGAGTGCGTGGGCATCTGAGTTAGTGGGCATCTGAGTGAGTGGGCATCTGAGTTAGTGGGCATCTGAGTGAGTGGGCATCTGAGTTAGTGGGCATCTGAGTGAGTGGGCATCTGAGTGAGTGGGCATCTGAGTTAGTGGGCATCTGAGTGAGTGGGCATCTGAGTGAGTGGGCATCTGAGTGAGTGGGCATCTGAGTGAGTGGGCATCTGAGTGCGTGGGCATCTGAGTTAGTGGGCATCTGAGTGAGTGGGCATCTGAGTGCGTGGGCATCTGAGTTAGTGGGCATCTGAGTGAGTGGGCATCTGAGTTAGTGGGCATCTGAGTGAGTGGGCATCTGAGTTAGTGGGCATCTGAGTGAGTGGGCATCTGAGTGAGTGGGCATCTGAGTGAGTGGGCATCTGAGTGAGTGGGCATCTGAGTTAGTGGGCATCTGAGTTAGTGGGCATCTGAGTGAGTGGGCATCTGAGTGAGTGGGCATCTGAGTGAGTGGGCATCTGAGTGAGTGGGCATCTGAGTGAGTGGGCATCTGAGTGAGTGGGCATCTGAGTTAGTGGGCATCTGAGTGAGTGGGCATCTGAGTGCGTGGGCATCTGAGTGAGTGGGCATCTGAGTGAGTGGGCATCTGAGTGAGTGGGCATCTGAGTGAGTGGGCATCTGAGTGAGTGGGCATCTGAGTGAGTGGGCATCTGAGTGAGTGGGCATCTGAGTGAGTGGGCATCTGAGTTAGTGGGCATCTGAGTGAGTGGGCATCTGAGTGCGTGGGCATCTGAGTTAGTGGGCATCTGAGTGAGTGGGCATCTGAGTTAGTGGGCATCTGAGTGAGTGGGCATCTGAGTTAGTGGGCATCTGAGTGAGTGGGCATCTGAGTGAGTGGGCATCTGAGTGCGTGGGCATCTGAGTTAGTGGGCATCTGAGTGAGTGGGCATCTGAGTGCGTGGGCATCTGAGTGAGTGGGCATCTGAGTGAGTGGGCATCTGAGTTAGTGGGCATCTGAGTGAGTGGGCATCTGAGTGAGTGGGCATCTGAGTTAGTGGGCATCTGAGTGAGTGGGCATCTGAGTGAGTGGGCATCTGAGTGAGTGGGCATCTGAGTGAGTGGGCATCTGAGTGAGTGGGCATCTGAGTGAGTGGGCATCTGAGTGAGTGGGCATCTGAGTTAGTGGGCATCTGAGTGAGTGGGCATCTGAGTGCGTGGGCATCTGAGTGAGTGGGCATCTGAGTGAGTGGGCATCTGAGTGAGTGGGCATCTGAGTGAGTGGGCATCTGAGTGAGTGGGCATCTGAGTGAGTGGGCATCTGAGTGAGTGGGCATCTGAGTGAGTGGGCATCTGAGTTAGTGGGCATCTGAGTGAGTGGGCATCTGAGTGCGTGGGCATCTGAGTTAGTGGGCATCTGAGTGAGTGGGCATCTGAGTTAGTGGGCATCTGAGTGAGTGGGCATCTGAGTTAGTGGGCATCTGAGTGAGTGGGCATCTGAGTGAGTGGGCATCTGAGTGCGTGGGCATCTGAGTTAGTGGGCATCTGAGTGAGTGGGCATCTGAGTGCGTGGGCATCTGAGTGAGTGGGCATCTGAGTGAGTGGGCATCTGAGTTAGTGGGCATCTGAGTGAGTGGGCATCTGAGTGAGTGGGCATCTGAGTTAGTGGGCATCTGAGTGAGTGGGCATCTGAGTGAGTGGGCATCTGAGTGAGTGGGCATCTGAGTGAGTGGGCATCTGAGTGAGTGGGCATCTGAGTGAGTGGGCATCTGAGTGAGTGGGCATCTGAGTTAGTGGGCATCTGAGTGAGTGGGCATCTGAGTTAGTGGGCATCTGAGTGAGTGGGCATCTGAGTGAGTGGGCATCTGAGTTAGTGGGCATCTGAGTGAGTGGGCATCTGAGTGAGTGGGCATCTGAGTGAGTGGGCATCTGAGTGAGTGGGCATCTGAGTGAGTGGGCATCTGAGTGAGTGGGCATCTGAGTTAGTGGGCATCTGAGTGCGTGGGCATCTGAGTTAGTGGGCATCTGAGTGAGTGGGCATCTGAGTGCGTGGGCATCTGAGTTAGTGGGCATCTGAGTGAGTGGGCATCTGAGTTAGTGGGCATCTGAGTGAGTGGGCATCTGAGTTAGTGGGCATCTGAGTGAGTGGGCATCTGAGTGAGTGGGCATCTGAGTGAGTGGGCATCTGAGTGAGTGGGCATCTGAGTTAGTGGGCATCTGAGTTAGTGGGCATCTGAGTGAGTGGGCATCTGAGTGAGTGGGCATCTGAGTGAGTGGGCATCTGAGTGAGTGGGCATCTGAGTGAGTGGGCATCTGAGTGAGTGGGCATCTGAGTTAGTGGGCATCTGAGTGAGTGGGCATCTGTGTGCGTGGGCATCTGAGTGAGTGGGCATCTGAGTGAGTGGGCATCTGAGTGAGTGGGCATCTGAGTGAGTGGGCATCTGAGTGAGTGGGCATCTGAGTGAGTGGGCATCTGAGTGAGTGGGCATCTGAGTGAGTGGGCATCTGAGTTAGTGGGCATCTGAGTGAGTGGGCATCTGAGTGCGTGGGCATCTGAGTTAGTGGGCATCTGAGTGAGTGGGCATCTGAGTTAGTGGGCATCTGAGTGAGTGGGCATCTGAGTTAGTGGGCATCTGAGTGAGTGGGCATCTGAGTGAGTGGGCATCTGAGTGCGTGGGCATCTGAGTTAGTGGGCATCTGAGTGAGTGGGCATCTGAGTGCGTGGGCATCTGAGTGAGTGGGCATCTGAGTGAGTGGGCATCTGAGTTAGTGGGCATCTGAGTGAGTGGGCATCTGAGTGAGTGGGCATCTGAGTTAGTGGGCATCTGAGTGAGTGGGCATCTGAGTGAGTGGGCATCTGAGTGAGTGGGCATCTGAGTGAGTGGGCATCTGAGTGAGTGGGCATCTGAGTGAGTGGGCATCTGAGTGAGTGGGCATCTGAGTTAGTGGGCATCTGAGTGAGTGGGCATCTGAGTGCGTGGGCATCTGAGTGAGTGGGCATCTGAGTGAGTGGGCATCTGAGTGAGTGGGCATCTGAGTGAGTGGGCATCTGAGTGAGTGGGCATCTGAGTGAGTGGGCATCTGAGTGAGTGGGCATCTGAGTGAGTGGGCATCTGAGTTAGTGGGCATCTGAGTGAGTGGGCATCTGAGTGCGTGGGCATCTGAGTTAGTGGGCATCTGAGTGAGTGGGCATCTGAGTTAGTGGGCATCTGAGTGAGTGGGCATCTGAGTTAGTGGGCATCTGAGTGAGTGGGCATCTGAGTGAGTGGGCATCTGAGTGCGTGGGCATCTGAGTTAGTGGGCATCTGAGTGAGTGGGCATCTGAGTGCGTGGGCATCTGAGTGAGTGGGCATCTGAGTGAGTGGGCATCTGAGTTAGTGGGCATCTGAGTGAGTGGGCATCTGAGTGAGTGGGCATCTGAGTTAGTGGGCATCTGAGTGAGTGGGCATCTGAGTGAGTGGGCATCTGAGTGAGTGGGCATCTGAGTGAGTGGGCATCTGAGTGAGTGGGCATCTGAGTGAGTGGGCATCTGAGTGAGTGGGCATCTGAGTTAGTGGGCATCTGAGTGAGTGGGCATCTGAGTTAGTGGGCATCTGAGTGAGTGGGCATCTGAGTGAGTGGGCATCTGAGTTAGTGGGCATCTGAGTGAGTGGGCATCTGAGTGAGTGGGCATCTGAGTGAGTGGGCATCTGAGTGAGTGGGCATCTGAGTGCGTGGGCATCTGAGTGCAAGATGGTAGGATCTCTAGGCGCCGAAAATTGGAGGCTGAGCCGCATATTGTGACACCGACGCTCATGATCCACCAAGAGAGTGAGTGGGGGCGTTTGAGTGCACGATAATAGTGAGTGGGCATCTGCGCAAGATTTTTGCTGGGTGAAGATCATCTCTTTTGTTGGGGACAAAAAGAGCGCCTCTGGTGTTTTTGAGAGGCAGTGACAGGAACAATACCGCACCTGAATTTTGCCTTGCGAATACGCCAACATCTTATCCTATCTTCCCATCGTTTTTCCGGCCTCCTCTTCCGCTTTCCCTAATCCCCAGCTGGCGTCCCTATGGAGAACATACTGTACCTCGGAGGCCCTAATATCGCAGCTGAGATTTACAATAAAGAGTACGCCAACGCGCGCCTATGTGGCGCCGCCACGTGGCGCGTTCCCATGGCAGCGTTCCTCCGCCAGCGCAACTTCGCAGTATGGGACAACAGCGACCTAGTCACCCACGAGGTCATGGGTGGTCTCAAGAATGTCTACGCGATCGGGGCGGGGATTGTTGCCGGGTCGACGCGGGACAGCGCGACGTCAAAATCGGTGTATTTCGCGCATAGCACCAGCGAGATGATCTTTGTTACGCACGTGCTGACAAAGGAGCCGGAAAGGCTCGCCGGGCCGCTATTGGCGGACACGTATGTGACTCTATTGAAGGGAAGGAACGCGTGGTATGGGCAGCAGCTTGCGGAGGGGAGGCTGACGGCGGAGATGGGCGATATGGTGGAAGGCAAGGGGCTGATTCAGGTGAGGAGATATGGGTGATACTAGTAAGGAATTAGTGGTTGGATCTTAAGACAGGGTGGCGGTGGGCTATTGAAGGGGCGGAACGCGTGGTATGGGCAGCAGCTGGCTGAGGGGAGGCTGACGGCTGAGATGGGTGATATGGTGGAAGGCAAGGGGCTGATTCAGGTGAGAATGGAAAGAGATACGTTGAAGGTAATGCACTTAGTAGGTGAGATGTGATGTTTCTAGGATTCTCAGAAGCTGCTCAGAAGATGTTGGTGTGAAGGCAAATCAGTCACTGGGTGGGCGATTGAAGGGGAGGAACGTTTGGTGAATCGCATCCATGTTCTCATGGCTGATCCTGCTCTCCATTTGTTCTCTGGGCACCGCCCCAACGACCTCGTGGCGTCCGTCCAGCTCTGCCTGCTGACTGACACTGACACCCATTCTGCCCGCCCTGTTTTGAGTCGACTCAAAACACTCCTCGTGGCTCTCATCCAGCTCTGCCTGCTGACGCTGACACCCATTCTTCCCCCCCCTGTTCCCCCCCTTCCTCTTTCCCCCTCCCCAGGAAGTGTCAGCAGTAGCAGCGTTTTACACAGTACTGAGTGAACCGGCCTACAAGGTGCCCCACCCCGTCACCAACGAGCTCGTGGCGCCTATCGAGCTCTGCCCCATCCTGCCTTCTCCCTTCTCACACTGACACCCATTCTGCCCCTTTTTTGTCCCCCCCCAACTTCTTCTTTCCCCCCATCCTCCCCAGGGAGTGTCAGCAGTGGCGGCCTTTTACACCGTGCTGAGTGAACCGGCCTACAAGGTGCCCCACCCCATCACCAACGACCACCTTGCAGGCACCCATGGAGCTCTGCCCCCTTCCCACTGCACACCCTCTTGATGCACACCCATTCTGCTCCCTCTGTCCCTTCCCTCCTTCCCCAGGGAGTGTCAGCAGTGGCGGCCTTTTACACGGTGCTGAGTGAGCCGGCCTACAAGGTGCCCCACCCCGTAACCAACGAGCTTGTGGCGCCCATCGAGCTCTGCCCTATCCTGCAGACGCTCTACCACATTCTGCACGTGCGGTGAGTTCCCTCTCTGTCATGCTTCTATGCATTCCTCCATGCACCTTGTGGCACCTATCGAGCTCTGCCCTATCCCGCAGACGCTCTACCACATCCTGCATGTGCGGTGAGTGTTGGGACACACGCTCATACACTAGGAATTTCGAGACGTCTCAGAGCTCTGCCGCGTACTTGCGCACTTGCGTGCTTGTGCAGACGCTCTACCACATCCTGCACTTGCAGTGAGTGTTAAAGTAAGCTCTCATGCATTCGCCCATGCTCCAGGCACCACGCACCATCCACCACACACCATCCACCACGCACCATCCACCACGCACCACACACCATGCACCATGCGTAGCTCTGCCCCTACAACCCCTCCCCCCCCTAGCCTTCTCTTACCCCTAACGAGAACTGAGATCCTGAGGGACGAGAACTTGTACGACCCAGCACAGTGATTAGCCACTTCCCCCAACCCCCCACCGCACCCCCCTCCCTTCCCCAGGGATCTCCCATGTGAAGCCATTCTGGACATGCCAAGGGATGAGAACATGGATGACCCCTGCTTGTCTAAACCCCCTCCACCCACCCCCCCTCCCTCCACTCCCACAACACCCATCTTCCTGTGACCTCCCATGTGAAGCCATTCTGGACACACTAAGGGATGAGAACATGGATGACCCGGCACAGCACATAGCCAGTCTTGACTCTCCTGAAAAACGTATCCCGTGCTCCCCTCTCTCCCACCCACCCACCCCCCATCCCCTCCTTGCTCCAGTGACCTCCCATGCAAAGCCATTCTGGACAAACTAAGGGACGAGAACATGTACGACCCGGCATAGCGCATACCAACGTCTTCCTCTGTCCGTTTCCTCCCCCCCCGCCCCATCCCCTTCTCTCCCCCAGTGACCTCCCATGCGAAGCCATTCTGGACACACTAAGGGACGAGAACATGTACGACCCGGCGCAGCGCATAGCCTCTGCACCGGAGCGGTGTTATGTGTCCAAACTGCTGGACCAGCACCCCAGCAGCAACGACTTGAGTGATGCTGCTGCTCAGGCTGTGAACGCATTGAGACTGTGAATATTGCTGTGGTGGAGAGTGAACGAGGTTAGGGAAGTGCACGCCAGCCAGCACAGCGCATAGCCTCTGCACCAGAGCGGTGTTATGTGGTTGAACTGCTGGACCAGCACCCCAGCAGCAACGACTTGAGTAATGCTGCTGCCCGGGCTGTGAACGCACTACGATTGTGAATAGCAGAGTCAGCAACAGTCTAGGGAATATTGCTGTGGAGCGTAAATAAGTCTAGCGCAGTGTATGCCAGCCAGCACAGCGCATAGCCTCTGCACCGGAGCGGTAGGTATCGCGTGACTCTGCCTGTTCAGCAGCAGAGTCTTTAGTGGTATGCGCAGAGTTATGTACGGTATGTGTGCGCATGTTGTAGCAGCATGGTCTTTATGGTGCATGCATGTTTTTGAGGGGCATCATTGACATCAGATGACAGACTTGGTCAAGGCATTGTTTCAAGACTTTCAACAAGCAGCAAAGCCCTTCACTGTGCATTGTCAGCAAATTGTGCAGAGAGTATTGTCCAGTGAATATGTACCTGGCCCAGGGGTGTACCAAGGCAACCCAGCAGAAGCAGCAGCAGCAGCGTGAAATCCACACGCAACCCATGGAAATAGTCACCATACTGGGCTTTAGAGATTCAAGAGTGCATATTCTCTAGTGTGACGTATCACCCATGTGTTTAAGAATGTGGACAGCAGTTGGCATGCGTAGATAATTATCCGTGCTAGATTAACGGGCACCAGCTGTACTGCGTGGACTGTATGCAATATTTCATACAAATCTACAGGCAGACAGCCTTGATAAGGTCCATATATGATTCCAGACATAGGCAACCCGGATTCAGTGCGCTCCAGCCTTGCACTTGCACAGGCCAACTCGTGACATGAAGCCAGAGATACGGTCATTGCTGACTGCAATGGCTTCTTCTGGGTTTGAGTATTTCACAAGCTTTGCAGAGCGCCAGCCACATTGCGTTTTATTCTCTCTGAAATGTCATCCTGCAAGGCACATGTTACACCGTTGATCGGAATGTAAATTGCCCGAACAGTACGGTGTGGAACAAGCAGGTAGTAAGACACACTGGCACACAGGCCGGGATCACAGAACGAGGTTTGAGGCATTGCGGAACTCACAGCCTTTAAGCATTGCTTTCCAGCATCTAGCTGCAAAGCATGTGGTGAATACGAAAGACTCGATCATTAGCTGCAAGCAAATACCTAACAAGCGCAGAACTCACCTTGACGTCGGGAAGGTGGAAGCGCCGCTCGGTGATTGCCTCGTACAGTGCAATGTAGCTGCGGTTGGAAAAGGGGTGGTAGGGACATGGGGAAGAAAGGTGGTATGGGATAGAATTACAGGAGAAGAACAAAAATAACCTTAACTCCGGGAAGATGGAAGTGCCGCCCTGTGATTGCCTCGTGCAGTGCAATGTAACTGCGTGTCGAAGGGTGGTGCATGGAGAGGTATACAGAGGGACACGGGGAGGGAAAGATATGGAAAATCATTCCTGGTGAGGGGGTCGTGAAGCTGGAAAGGTGGAAGCGCCGCCCAGTGATTGCCTTGTACAGTGCAATGCAGCTGCGGGTGGCATGATAGTGTACAGAGGGATATGGGCGAGGAATCATGTCGGACAATCTTTAAAGATATCATTAGACATTTGCATGAATAATTATTGTAGAGTGCCTTTTGGTTAGCACAAGGATGGTGGGAGCAATGAGGAACTCACCGCCAGGACATCTCTGTGATGAGACGGGGGACCGCTTGAGGCGCCTAAAAGAAAGACACGTTGTGAGGCGCTTCAAAGAACAATGGGAGCAGCAAGAAACTCACCGCCAGGATAGCTCTGTGATGAGATGGGGGACCGCTTGAGGCGCCTAAAAGAAAGACATTTCTCAAGGCGCTGCAAAGAACAGTGGGAGCAGCGAGGAACTTACCGCCAAGATAGCTCCGTAATGAGATGAGCGGGCGCTGCAGGGAGAGTCTGGGGGCAGAAGAGCGCAAAGAGAAAGGGAAGGGAGAAGATTTAGGGAGGAGAGATGGGAAGAAGCGGGTGGGAGGCGAAACAGGGAAGGAGGAGGGAGGAGGAGAGACAAGCAAGCCACAAAGCAAGCACATCAGCCTTCAGTTAAGAGTGCAAGCAAGCACACTAGAACTTGTTTTGGTAGTGCAGTGGCATTGAAATACCACGAGTGATTCGCCATCAAATGTCATGCCGGCAGTGTTACAGAACCCTGCCATGCGGCAGTGCTACAGGGGGTCGCACCCACCTTATCATTGTAGGGGTCGCACCCACCTTATCATTGTAGGGGTCGCACCCACCTTATCATTGTAGGGGTCGCACCCACCTTATCATTGTAGGGGTCGCACCCACCTTATCATAGTAGGGGTCGCACCCACCTTATCATTGTAGGGGTCGCACCCACCTTATCATTGTAGGGGTCGCACCCACCTTATCATTGTAGGGGTCGCACCCACCTTATCATTGTAGGGGTCGCACCCACCTTATCATTGTAGGGGTCGCACCCACCTTATCATTGTAGGGGTCGCACCCACCTTATCATTGTAGGGGTCGCACCCACCTTATCATTGTAGGGGTCGCACCCACCTTATCATTGTAGGGGTCGCACCCACCTTATCATTGTAGGGGTCGCACCCACCTTATCATTGTAGGGGTCGCACCCACCTTATCATTGTAGGGGTCGCACCCACCTTATCATTGTAGGGGTCGCACCCACCTTATCATTGTAGGAAACTAGTTTACGCAAGGAGGCTTTTCGGAAGCTAAGGGTTTTTCAGATCTGCGTTTTTTTCACCAGTTTTCACTGTTTGTTCCTTTGCTTAAGCGTCCTCTCTGCTACTGCAGCCCTTCGAAACATGAGTCAGGGTGACTGTAGGGGTCGCACCCACCTTATCATTGTAGGGGTCGCACCCACCTTATCATTGTAGGGGTCGCAGTTTTCCTTGAACCAGAGCCGCAGAAACTCCTGCAATCAGCACACGAGAGGGACGATGGGAATTGGGCTCTTCGTGTCAGGCCAGCACTGAAGGAAGGAAGCACTGCAAGCTGGAGAAATTTCTGCAAGCAGCACTCGGGTAGGTCAGAAGCAATCTGTGGTGAATACAGGGCGTGGAGTGGAGGAGCATTGACAAACGCTGAGAGAGATGATGATGACGGGGGCTGGCTTGCGGAGCATTGGGAAGTAAAGAAGCTGGAGGAACAGAGAACACGGAACAATGATGATGCACATACGAGTTTCTATTGCAGAGATCTCTCGTGTGCTGCTTGCAGACAAGCAGCTCAATGAAGTGAAGGTATCCGTCCTCCTCACCTTGTCTATATTCTGCGGCTCCAACCCTTCTGCATGCCTCTGCTCGTATGTGGATGCGATCCAATAGCGGCTGGAGTCGGGTGTGTGCACCTGGGTGGCAAGAGAGTTAGAAGGGGAAGAGCAGGGGAAGGAAAAGGAGAGACAGGGAGGAAAAGAGGGTTGAATTGCAGCCCGCTTTTGAGTCGACTCAAAAGAGGAAAAGAGGGTTCAATTGCTGCCCCTCTGCTCGTATGTGGATGCAATTGAGTCGACTCAATTGCAGCCCCTCTGCTCGTATGTGGATGCAATTGAGTCGACTCAATTGCTGCCCCTCTGCTCGTATGTGGATGCAATTGAGTCGACTCAATTGCAGCCCCTCTGCTCGTATGTGGATGCAATTGAGTCGACTCAATTGCAGCCCCTCTGCTCGTATGTGGATGCAATTGAGTCGACTCAATTCCAGCCCCTCTGCTCGTATGTGGATGCACTTGAGTCGACTCAATTGCAGCCCCTCTGCTCGTATGTGGATGCAATTGAGTCGACTCAATTGCAGCCCCTCTGCTCGTATGTGGATGCAATTGAGTCGACTCAATTGCAGCCCCTCTGCTCGTATGTGGATGCAATCCAATAGCGGCTGGAGTCTGGTGTGTGCACCTGGGTGGACGGGGAGAGATGGGGCGAAGGGAGAGGGGGAGAGGGAGGGGGAGAGGGAGGGGGAGAGGGAGGGGGAGAGGGAGGGGGAGAGGGAGGGGGAGAGGGAGGGGGTGAGACGGGAGAGAAGGCGGGGAGCAAAGGGGAGTTCCAGTGCAAGTGGACCTGACGGGAAGGGGTGAGAGGGAGAAAATAAACAGAGAAGGGTCGAAGGAAAAGAAGGAGGGTAAAGGTAAAGCTGGATGTGACATCTGGACCTGGAAGTCTAGATTTGAATTCAGTAACTCCTGAAATCGGGGACTGAGGTGACTAGCTGTTACAGTGACATGTTCCCATCTGAATCTTTCCCAAATTCGTACTTGGTATCCACCAGAATGAGCCCTTGCTCCCCCGCCACCTGCTGTCTAAATGCCAACAGCTTCACCGCCAAGTCCCGGGTCATCTCAAGCTCCTCCCGGGTCATGAGCCATCGTGTTCAGACAAGTCAGTCAGGCTACCACACGTTGGTGATTGTCTCACCTCATCTATTAGTCGGATGTTGCCCTCCAAATCCTTCCCAAACTCGTATTTTGTATCCACAAGAATGAGCCCATGCTGCCCTGCCACCTGCTGTCCGAACGCAAACAGCTTCAGCGCCAAGTCCCTGGTAAGTTCGAACTCCTCACGGGTCATAAGCCTACGGTTTCAGTCAAGTCAGGACACCTCACCTCATCAATGAGTCGAATGTTGCCGTCAGAATCCTTCCCAAACTCGTATTTCGTATCCACAAGAATCAGCCCGTGCTCCCCCGCCACCTGCTGCCCGAAAGCAAACAGCTTTAGAGCCAAGTCCCTGGTGGTCTCAAACTCCTCCCGGGTCATGAGCCCGCGCGAGACGATCTCCTCTGGTGTGACTGGCTCGTCGTGATCGGCTGCCTTGGTGGTGGGGGTCAGAATGTTGGCTGATAGGCGGTCGTTCTTGCACAGACCTGGGTGTGTGGGGAGTGACACGGACATATGGAGAGCGGTGGATTTTGTACTCTTGAGGCGCCTCAAGAATGGGCTTCAGTAGCACCCCCCTGGTTGTCTCAAACTCCTCCCGAATCATAAGCCCGCGGGAGACGATCTCCTCTGGGGTGACTGGCTCGTCTGCTTTTGAGTCGACTCAAAAGCCCGCGGGAGACGATCTCCTCTGGGGTGACTGGCTCGTCTGCTTTTGAGTCGACTCAAAAGCCCGCGGGAGACGATCTCCTCTGGGGTGACTGGCTCGTCTGCTTTTGAGTCGACTCAAAAGCCCGCGGGAGACGATCTCCTCTGGGGTGACTGGCTCGTCTGCTTTTGATTCGACTCAAAAGCCCGCGGGAGACGATCTCCTCTGGGGTGACTGGCTCGTCTGCTTTTGAGTCGACTCAAAAGCCCGCGGGAGACGATCTCCTCTGGGGTGACTGGCTCGTCTGCTTTTGAGTCGACTCAAAAGCCCGCGGGAGACGATCTCCTCTGGGGTGACTGGCTCGTCTGCTTTTGAGTCGACTCAAAAGCCCGCGGGAGACGATCTCCTCTGGGGTGACTGGCTCGTCTGCTTTTGAGTCGACTCAAAAGCCCGCGGGAGACGATCTCCTCTGGGGTGACTGGCTCGTCTGCTTTTGAGTCGACTCAAAAGCCCGCGGGAGACGATCTCCTCTGGGGTGACTGGCTCGTCTGCTTTTGAGTCGACTCAAAAGCCCGCGGGAGACGATCTCCTCTGGGGTGACTGGCTCGTCTGCTTTTGAGTCGACTCAAAAGCCCGCGGGAGACGATCTCCTCTGGGGTGACTGGCTCGTCTGCTTTTGAGTCGACTCAAAAGCCCGCGGGAGACGATCTCCTCTGGGGTGACTGGCTCGTCTGCTTTTGAGTCGACTCAAAAGCCCGCGGGAGACGATCTCCTCTGGGGTGACTGGCTTGTCTGCTTTTGAGTCGACTCAAAAGCCCGCGGGAGACGATCTCCTCTGGGGTGACTGGTGTTAGGGTTGGTTCGCCCAACCACGGAACCTAAGGCGAAAGTCTCTACGACGGCGGAATGACGGCGAAATGGAAGCGCGTGGATGATTCTAGGTGAAACGGTGGAAATCGGCCTACGGCGTGAGAAGGGAGAGAGAAATCGAGAAGGAATGTGTGAGAAGGTGGAAGAAGCATCGAGATTGAAGTTGGCGAGGGGAAATTGTGGTTCGAGCTCGAGGCGTGTTCGAGAAGGTTCCAGATTCGGTCTTGAGGAGTGTTCACCGAATTCGGTTCGGTTGTGTGTGCGACTCGGGGTGAAACGAGGCGCACGCGGTTACTTGGGAAACAAGTGAAGTTACGAATCGCATTTTGTGTCTTGCCTGACTATAAAACTGCTTGTACTCATTCTGGAAATCATACCAATCAGATTCTGAAAATTGCTGAAGTGTGTATTGACAACTTCAAGCAGAGCTGCGCATATCATTGGAGAACACGATAGGCGATAGCAAGTAGACTATTGCCGACTAAGGTGCTTACGATCCTAAGAACTGGTATCAGAGCTTGACGAACGGGCTCGTCGATCGTCGCGAATTCACTTGGTGCGCTAAGTGAAATTAGTGGAGAAGAGGAGTCGTTCACGCCTACGCTATGGGAGACGAGGCGAGTTCGGGTTCCAGTGTGAGTCTTGGAGACCCGCAGTTGAAGGCTTTTCTCGAGGCCCTTGCGAGTGGCCGATTGGTGGCGAAACCGACGATCGGGCTCAGTGAAGCTCAGCGCTTCAATGGAAGCAACTACAACGTGTGGCGAAAGAAGTTCATTCGAAGGGCAGAGGAGGTGGACCTCTTGCCGTACTACCGTCCCGACGAGGAGACGATGGAGGGAGTTGCGCCTTCCACGACGGATACGAAGGAGAAAATAGCGGCGTTTAAAAAGCAAAGTAAGCAAGCTTTCTTTCAGCTTTGTCATTCAGTTGCCGATGAAATCGCGGTGGATTTGGACCAGTTTGCAGGGGAGCTGAACCCTGCACAGCAAGCGTGGGAGTACCTGGAGTCCACATACATGGGTACGAACGATGTCAACAAGAAGGCGATCAGGAAGCAACTGCTGACGCTGAGCATGGAGAAAGGCGAGAAAATCATCACCTACATCAACAGGGCGAAAAGCTACAACGAGGATTTGCGGGTGATGGGAGCCGCGGAGATGGAGCACGAGATGATTGACTATATCATCCAAGGCCTTCCTAAGGAGTGGGAATCCGACATCGGTATGTTTACGTACCAACCGCCGGAGAGTTTGATGAAGCTGCAGGAGATTCTGCAGTCGCTTGAGACGGTGAAGGAGATGAGGAAGAAGAAAGCAGCAGCAGCAGTTACAGAATTCGACGAGGAGAGGCCGGGTATGGTGAATGCCACGAAGGCGTTTGGAGCATGCTACCAATGTGGAAAGAGGGGGCATAAAGCGATAAACTGCTACGAAAATCCTCGAAGCAGAAACTACAAGGGCAAAGCTGTGGAGAATGATAAAGGAGAAAATGCAGGAGCGGAGTGGCAGCAGAAACGAGGTTTTGGCGGCAAGTGTGATTATTGTGGGCGCTACGGGCATCGTGCCGCAGAGTGCTACTCCAACCCGAATAGCATGAGCTACAAGGGTCCGTCGCAGCAGAGGAATGTGGCGACAAAGGCGAATGTAGTGGAAGCGGAAAAGGAGGATGTGATTTTGGGAGGAGCGCATCTCGCGAACGTGGTGCGTTTACCGAAGGAGGCTCAGACAGATGGACGTGAGAAGAGGGCGTGGTTCATGGACAGCGGATGCACGCGTCACATGACATTCAGGTCAGATTGGATGGAGAATGTGAGGGAGTCGAGTGAGGATTATATACTACAAGGTAACAGTGGGAAGTTACCAGTGACAGGAGAGGGTGACGTGGTGCTGCAGAGTCCGTATGGAGAGATGAGACTGGAGAATGTGCTGCTGGTTGAGGATTTAAAGGTGAACTTGGTCAGTCAGTCACAGCTTGATGACTTGGGGTGCAAGATATTTTATGACAGAGGCGAGGTTACAGTGTTTGGTCCTGAGTGGGAGAAATATGCGGATGGTTATTTCAGTGACGGTTTCTATGAGATGAACTTGGTCGCGATGAACGATAAGGATGAGATCTATGAGGATCCTGAGTCTACTGAGGATGATGAGAGTGAGGACTCGGATGATATGGCTGCGAGTGTGGAGGCAGCAGTGAAGCAGGAAGAGGAGATAGTGATCATGGAGGCAGCAGCAGTAAACGGTGGAGATGGAGACGATGTCAACACTTTTGCAGCAGCGATCGTGGTTGAAGATGAAGCAGTAAATGCGAAGTGTGTGGGAGTTGAAGCTGTGAAAGGGGACATCATGGTGAAAGGATCAAAGGCGAATGCAACTGCAAAGGGGCAAGTGCTTAAGGAGGATGAACGCGTTGAAGGGTACGAGACCCGAGAGGTGTTGGGTGTAAAGATGCCGAGGAGAAACGAGAGGCATAAGAAAATCTCTCAAGGTTTGGATGTCAAGGCGCTCAACTACAAGACACGTAAGCAGAGGTTCAAGGTGCAGGAGCTGCAGGGGAGCGTGAAGCCGACTTAGACCCTGTGAAGGCTACAAGGAGCAGGGGAGCAGTGCGAGTGGTGTTCGTGGTTGACGAACCACAGGGGAGATTGTTAGGGTTGGTTCGCCCAACCACGGAACCTAAGGCGAAAGTCTCTACGACGGCGGAATGACGGCGAAATGGAAGCGCGTGGATGATTCTAGGTGAAACGGTGGAAATCGGCCTACGGCGTGAGAAGGGAGAGAGAAATCGAGAAGGAATGTGTGAGAAGGTGGAAGAAGCATCGAGATTGAAGTTGGCGAGGGGAAATTGTGGTTCGAGCTCGAGGCGTGTTCGAGAAGGTTCCAGATTCGGTCTTGAGGAGTGTTCACCGAATTTGGTTCGGTTGTGTGTGCGACTCGGGGTGAAACGAGGCGCACGCGGTTACTTGGGAAACAAGTGAAGTTACGAATCGCATTTTGTGTCTTGCCTGACTATAAAACTGTTTGTACTCATTCTGGAAATCATACCAATCAGATTCTGAAAATTGCTGAAAATTGCTGAAAATTGACAACTTCAAGCAGAGCTGCGCATATCATTGGAGAACACGATAGGCGATAGCAAGTAGACTATTGCCGACTAAGGTGCTTACGATCCTAAGAACTGGCTCGTCTGCTTTTGAGTCGACTCAAAAGCACGCGGGAGACGATCTCCTCTGGGGTGACTGGCTCGTCTGCTTTTGAGTCGACTCAAAAGCCCGCGGGAGACGATCTCCTCTGGGGTGACTGGCTCGTCTGCTTTTGAGTCGACTCAAAAGCCCGCGGGAGACGATCTCCTCTGGGGTGACTGGCTCGTCTGCTTTTGAGTCGACTCAAAAGCCCGCGGGAGACGATCTCCTCTGGGGTGACTGGCTCGTCTGCTTTTGAGTCGACTCAAAAGCCCGCGGGAGACGATCTCCTCTGGGGTGACTGGCTCGTCTGCTTTTGAGTCGACTCAAAAGCCCGCGGGAGACGATCTCCTCTGGGGTGACTGGCTCGTCTGCTTTTGAGTCGACTCAAAAGCCCGCGGGAGACGATCTCCTCTGGGGTGACTGGCTCGTCTGCTTTTGAGTCGACTCAAAAGCCCGCGGGAGACGATCTCCTCTGGGGTGACTGGCTCGTCGTGAGCCGCCTCTTTAGTTGTGGGGGTGAGTATGTTTGCTGATAGATGGTCACCCATCGAGTGCCTTTAGTTCTTGAGCCGGTCCACAGCGAGGGTGCTTCGAGTGCCTGTCAAGATGTCTCATAAACCCAACCTCCCCCAGCCCCCCCCACCCCACACACCCACCTTCAGGCAGGTCGTTCCCACAGTAGGACCGAGCCCCATCGTTGTATACGGTCCACAGCGACGTGCTTCGAGTGCCTGTCAATACGTTTCAAACCTCCCCACCCACCCACCCACCCACCCACCCACCCACCCACCCACCCACCCACCCACCCACCCACACACCCACCTTCAGGCAGGTCGTTCCCACAGTAGGACCGAGCCCCATCGTTGTATACGATCCACAGGGACGTACTGGTGGTGCCCGTGATGTATCCACGCACTGGGGGACGCGGGGGGTGGGAGAGAGGTGCGAAAAGGAGGAGTTGAGGAGGAAAAGAGTGGAGATGAGTGAGTGTTGAGCCGACTAAGGGAACGCTCCCTGGTTGTACACGGTCCACAGGGACGTACTGGTGGTGCCGGTGATGTATCCACGCACTGAGGGGGCAAAGAGGGTGAGTGGGGCAAGGCGGGAGGGAATAATTGGGGGTTTGAGAGGACAAAAAAGTAAGCAGTGCACCATTGCAGACAACAGTAGACCTAGCAACAAAAAAAATGCAGTCAGGAACTTTAGCTTCAGTATTGAGAACTCTCAAAAGTGACTCCAATATAGCTCCAAATCCCACGGGTCACGCTGCAGCTCTTCTTCATGACCAGTGACCAATATAGCTCCAAATCCCGTCTGCAAGACTCAACTTCTTCCACCTCGCCCTTGGTACTCATGCACCAACGAACTCCACCCAACGCCCGACCCAACGTCTCTCTTCACGGGAAGACTTGGCATTTTAGGAAGAGCGTGACGTTGGGTCGGACAAGGAGAGGAAGGCACTCAGCTCAGCAAGCAAAGGCACTGTCTCACCATCTCCCTCTCACTCACCATCTCCCTCTCACTCACCATCTCCCTCTCACTCACCATCTCCCTCTCACTCACCATCTCCCTCTCACTCACCATCTCCCTCTCACTCACCATCTCCCTCTCACTCACCATCTCCCTCTCACTCACCATCTCCCTCTCACTCACCATCTCCCTCTCACTCACCATCTCCCTCTCACTCACCATCTCCCTCTCACTCACCATCTCCCTCTCACTCACCATCTCCCTCTCACTCACCATCTCCCTCTCACTCACCATCTCCCTCTCACTCACCATCTGCCGCACTCACCGACAAACTCGACGGTGAAGACTTTGCATTTCCGGAAGATGGTGACGTTGGGATCGGGCGAAGAGAGGAAGGCGTTGGGTACGATGGGTGCCGTCTGCTCGAACCACCACGCGCTGGTCTGGTTCAGCACCTGAGGAGAAGGGTGGTGGGAGGGGGGAGGAGGGTGAGAGAGGGGAGGGAGATGGGTGAGCGGGCGTCTGACATGGGACGAGGTGAGGAGAGGAGAGGAAGGCGTTGGGTACGATGTGTGCTGTCTGCTCGAACCACCACGCACTCGTCTGATTCAGCACCTGGGGACAGGGGGCAAGGGGGAGGGCGGAGGGGGGAGGTTGGAGTGGGGAGGGGAGAGGGATGAGCGGGAACGGAAGAGGTGGGATACAAGGGGGATATGATTGGGGACAACGGGGCTGTCTGCCCAAGCCGAATCTGTTTTTTTTTAGAATTCTAAAAACAAGGGGGGATATGATTGGGGACAATGGGGCTGTATGCCCTAGCCACCACGCATTCGCCTGTAAAATCACCTGATGAAAGCGAAGAGGTTGCTGAGGTTTAGCCAAGGGTTTAGGTGAAACATGTGGCTGCTGCTGTACCACTTGGACAGGTTTAGCAAGGATCAGGGTTTAAGCCAGATACACAGGTAAACTCAACCGAGTGAAAAGAGAGGGGATAGAATAAAGACACTTCGGTGAGAATGTCGGCGAGTCATTTCAATGTGGCTTGCCTGCCATTCCAAAGGCACGGTCATGTGAAGGACTTTTCTAGTTGCCTCAGAACGTATGTTTTTTGAGAATTCTCAAAACACATACGCTGCATCATGAGAAGGACTTTCTAGTCGCCTCAGAAGGAAGTGATGTTAAAAAAGTCAGGAGTCAGTTAATGCTACGCACGTTAAAGTGACTTACCTGCCCTTTGAACGGTACGGACGCGAGAATCCGGTCGAACGCGCTTTGACGATCTGTGGTTACCACCACAAGCAGTTCTTCGTCCGTGTTGCTGTTGCTGTCGCTACTCGCCGCCGAACCTGCCGCAGGCTTGGCAGTGTACACGTCCCGAACCTTCCCCTCTTGCTTCGGCCCGACCCCAGGCACGCCCTCGAGATCTGATTGGACGAGGCATCGCGATAAGCTCTCCTCGATCGCGACGAGGATTTCTGGCCGTTGATTCAGGTCTAAGTCGATCGCTGACCGTACAGTCATGGACGAGGTGCTACGCTTTCCCTGGTTGAAGGACAAGGCGCGTGATTTCCAGGAAGCTGCGTGATGTAGGGGAAGGCGAAATGCGGGGGAGGAGGAAAACGACCGGCTTATGGAGGCGCTACCCCTCGTTTTTAGCACATTGTTAACGGAAACAGGTGAATCTTGCAACGAAAAGCGCGTACACGCGAGGGCGCGGGTGGCCATTGCGGAAAGAGCGGCGCAATGCGCGGTGGCAAGAGCTGGATTGCTCTACTGAAATGGGGCAATTGAATATTTGTAGGGGAATTTGCACACTGACGCTGAGTATGGGAGCGTATTTGGAGAATGTGTTTCGCCAATCGGATGAATTCTGTAACTGAAACGCATCTCGCATTAATCGTTTGAGGAAGTTCGTCGGACAATGAAATCAGTTACATCAGTACTTGCCGAACATTTGCGAGTTCTTGTCAGCGTCGTTCCAACTCTTTCTAGGGGAGTGCTTTGTAATACAAGCCTTCGTGAACAGCCCTGAATGCGAAGGCCACGAAACCTGGATTCTGGTTGTAGCGGAAATTCGTTATACCAGTTCACTGAATAGACGAGTTCAATAACGAGGACGATGATCAGTGTTCATCATCAGTGTTCCAGCCCAGCGTGACATGGATCATGGATTTTGCTGGGCTGTTTGCCTGAAAGTAGTAGGGTAAGTGCAGTAATATGGTGAAGTAGTGGAATAAGAGAGCTATAGGACAGGGCGCAGAGACACTTCAGTGCACGCCTGCTGTCTCCTCCGAGCCGTCGAGTCCCTCGTTAAAACCCGCGTACAGCCAGATTTAAATCCTGTCCTAAGCTTTGCCAGCCTACAGTACAGCCTGAATTGGAGCCTAAATTGGGTCTGGATCGCGCCTTCGATTGAGGAGCCATGGCGCGGCCCGCGGAGATTTTCGCGCCGCTTTTGGACCGTTTGAACGCGCCGCATCCGTCAGTGCGGCGATTCACTGTAGACGCCATCTTCGCGAGATTCAAGGCGCCGAGCACGGCGCCGCAAACCTGCGCACCCGCGCGCGATGCGCTGACGGCGTGCCTGACTCATGCCACGTCAGCCGTGGTGGACCAATCCGTAACGGCGCTGTGCGGGCTCGTCCAATCAGGGCACTGCAAGGCGGATGAAGGTTCGTGGTGATTTCCTTGTGGAAGGCAATAGGTACCTTGCAGTTTGGAAGGTAAATTCTCTCTAGTTTTAGCATTTTACCTCTACTATCGTTCCACATTGTAATAATAATGAAGAATCTATCCACTTTTTCCATGTTCCCTTCCCAACATCATCACCCTCTGTCCTTTACCCCTCTTCCTCCCCTTCCCTCCAACCGCCCCCCCTCTCCCCCTTGTCCTCCCCCTCCCCCTCTCCCCTTTACCCCTGCAAATCCCCCCATTCCGTCCCCCAGCGCTGGCGCATTTGCTGGCGGCGCTGCCAGCAGTGCGGGGGGAGGTGGTGGGGAGTGTGTGCGGGGGGGTGGTGGGGATGTACGTGTCGTGCTGTCAGGGCTGACGTGGCGTGTGCTAAGGGTGACGTGGCGCCTGCAAGTGGCGGCACAGATTCACGGGAGGGGCGGCAGGGGGGGGATGTGAGGGAGGGGGGTGGGGGGAAGGAGGGAAGAAGGGGAGGACAACGACGGGAAGTGCAGTGGCGATGGACGGGAGGCACGCACCCTTTCACACGTGTAAGCGTGTTTATTAGGGGAGGTGCAATGGTGCTATACACTTGATCTCTTGTTTATAAGTCTTAAATCCCAGTGGTGATGGACGGGAGGCACACACCCTTTCACACGTGTAAGTGTAGAGGGCAAGAAGACAAATCAGTGTTTTATAGCAGGCAATGGCCGGGTAGCACAACCCGTTTCACACATGTGTATTCAAGCGTGCTTATGGGGACGTGTTAAACGGTTTCACATGGTTGGGGACTGCTTTCGAACACTAGATTACTACCCTCTGCTGCTGCTGCTTGTGATTCATGTGCTATGAACACGCACACTAGCCCTGGGTATCCGGTCACCTTGACTCGTTGTTCGAAGGGCTGTAGTAGTTGAACAATGAAACAGTAGTTGAAAAGTGCTGCAGCCCTTGGAACAATGAGTCAAGGTGACGCTATGAACATGCACACTAGCCCTGGGCATCCGGTCTTTTGAGACGTCGCAAACCTCAATTCATCTGCCCCGCTTCCTTCCCGGGTTCTCTTTGCTCATGATGTGTTATGTGCTATGCCTATGCCTATGTGTGTGCATCCATGCGTGATGACGTGGCAAGCAGCTATTGGAGACACGGGAAGAGGCGCATCTGCCTCTGCTTCACCACCTCACCCTCCTCCTCCTCTCCCCTCCTCCTCTCTCCACCACCCCCACCACCACTACCAAGTCAAACCGCACTACTAGCAATAGCAGCACCACCACCACGATAACCACCAGCAGTGGCAGCAGCAGCGGCAGCAGCAGCAGCAGCAGCAGCAGCAGCAGCAGCAGCAGCAGCGACAGGGCACTTCTCTTCTCCTCCCTCCTCCCGTTCCTCTGCCGAGCCCTCCTCCCCGCCCCCTCCCCGCCCTCCCGCCTCCGCTTCAAGGCCGCCCTCCACACGCGATTGGTCCACGTGGCTGCCACGTCAGCAGACCTGTTCCAGCCAATCACGGCGCTGCTGGTGTCGCTGCTTCCGTGGCACATGCTATCGTCAGCAGCGGTGAGTGGTGGTGTGAGTGATGGTGTGAGTGGGAGTGTGAGCGTCAGTGTGAGTGGGAGTGAGTGTGAGTGGGAGTGTGAGTGGGAGTGTGAGTGGGAGTGTGAGTGGCGGTGTGAGTGGCGGTGTGAGTGGCGGTGTGAGTGGCGGTGTGAGTGGCGGTGTGAGTGGCGGTGTGAGTGGCGGTGTGAGTGGGAGTGTGAGTGGCGGTGTGAGTGGCGGTGCGAGTGGCGGTGGGAGTGGCGGTGCGAGTGGCGGTGCGAGTGGCGGTGCGAGTGGCGGTGCGAGTGGCGGTGCGAGTGGCGGTGCGAGTGGCGGTGGGAGTGGCGGTGCGAGTGGCGGTGCGAGTGGCGGTGCGAGTGGCGGTGCGAGTGGCGGTGCGAGTGGCGGTGCGAGTGGCGGTGCGAGTGGCGGTGCGAGTGGCGGTGCGAGTGGCGGTGCGAGTGGCGGTGCGAGTGGCGGTGCGAGTGGCGGTGCGAGTGGCGGTGCGAGTGGCGGTGCGAGTGGCGGTGCGAGTGGCGGTGGGAGTGGCGGTGCGAGTGGCGGTGCGAGTGGCGGTGCGAGTGGCGGTGCGAGTGGCGGTGCGAGTGGCGGTGCGAGTGGCGGTGCGAGTGGCGGTGCGAGTGGCGGTGCGAGTGGCGGTGCGAGTGGCGGTGCGAGTGGCGGTGCGAGTGGCGGTGCGAGTGGCGGTGCGAGTGGCGGTGTGAGTGGCGGTGTGAGTGGCGGTGTGAGTGGCGGTGTGAGTGGCGGTGTGAGTGGCGGTGTGAGTGGCGGTGTGAGTGGCGGTGTGAGTGGCGGTGGGAGTGGCGGTGCGAGTGGCGGTGCGAGTGGCGGTGCGAGTGGCGGTGCGAGTGGCGGTGCGAGTGGCGGTGCGAGTGGCGGTGCGAGTGGCGGTGCGAGTGGCGGTGCGAGTGGCGGTGCGAGTGGCGGTGCGAGTGGCGGTGCGAGTGGCGGTGCGAGTGGCGGTGCGAGTGGCGGTGCGAGTGGCGGTGCGAGTGGCGGTGCGAGTGGCGGTGCGAGTGGCGGTGCGAGTGGCGGTGCGAGTGGCGGTGCGAGTGGCGGTGCGAGTGGCGGTGCGAGTGGCGGTGCGAGTGGCGGTGCGAGTGGCGGTGCGAGTGGCGGTGCGAGTGGCGGTGCGAGTGGCGGTGCGAGTGGCGGTGCGAGTGGCGGTGCGAGTGGCGGTGCGAGTGGCGGTGCGAGTGGCGGTGCGAGTGGCGGTGCGAGTGGCGGTGCGAGTGGCGGTGCGAGTGGCGGTGCGAGTGGCGGTGCGAGTGGCGGTGCGAGTGGCGGTGCGAGTGGCGGTGCGAGTGGCGGTGCGAGTGGCGGTGCGAGTGCGGTGCGAGTGGCGGTGCGAGTGGCGGTGCGAGTGGCGGTGCGAGTGGCGGTGCGAGTGGCGGTGCGAGTGGCGGTGCGAGTGGCGGTGCGAGTGGCGGTGCGAGTGGCGGTGCGAGTGGCGGTGCGAGTGGCGGTGCGAGTGGCGGTGCGAGTGGCGGTGCGAGTGGCGGTGCGAGTGGCGGTGCGAGTGGCGGTGCGAGTGGCGGTGCGAGTGGCGGTGCGAGTGGCGGTGCGAGTGGCGGTGCGAGTGGCGGTGCGAGTGGCGGTGCGAGTGGCGGTGCGAGTGGCGGTGGGAGTGGCGGTGGGAGTGGCGGTGCGAGTGGCGGTGGGAGTGGCGGTGCGAGTGGCGGTGCGAGTGGCGGTGCGAGTGGCGGTGCGAGTGGCGGTGCGAGTGGCGGTGCGAGTGGCGGTGCGAGTGGCGGTGTGAGTGGCGGTGCGAGTGGCGGTGTGAGTGGCGGTGCGAGTGGCGGTGTGAGTGGCGGTGTGAGTGGCGGTGCGAGTGGCGGTGTGAGTGGCGGTGCGAGTGGCGGTGTGAGTGGCGGTGGGAAGCACAGGGATGGAGCAGCAGCATGACTGTGCGTCGTTTTGGAATGAGCTGCTCTGCAATCCGCCATTGCAACTTGGTGTTTGTTGAAAGAAACTTTGGGCTTTGTCTTGTGTGTCTGTGTGTGTTGTGTGTGTGTGTGTGTGTGTGTGTGTGCGCGCGCGGGCGCGCGTCTGTGCGTGCGTGCGTGTGTGCGTGCGTGCGTGTGTGCGTGCGTGCGTGTGTGTGTTTGCATGTGTGTGTGCACATGTGTCCATCCCACACGCCAGGATCGGGAGTCCATGCTGGCAAGCTTAGGCGAGCTCATGGATCTAGCCTATGCCACGTCATCATCCACTGAATCCCAACAAACCCAACACCAGATCCCCCAAAGCAACCAACCACACCAATCCCACCACAGCCACCATCCACACTCGCTCCCCTCCCTCACCACCCGCCTCTCCGCCTGTGCTCTCGCACTCTCTCTTGAGCTGCAAGCCGCCGGCACCACCGCTGCTGGTGCATCTTCTGCTGCTGCTGCTGGGGCTGCTGCTGCAGCTCCCACTGCTGCTGCCTCTGCTGCTGCTGGTCTGCCCTCCTGCCTCTTCCTCGTTCAAAAGGCCTCTCTGCTGCGAGCGCGGATTGACTGTCAGAGAGAGGAGGGAGAGAGTGAAAAGGAGGATGTGGGGAGAAGAGAAGGGGAAGATTCCAGCATGGGTGTGGGACAGCTGGGAGGCGTCGGAGGAATGAGAAGGATGGGAAGAGAAAGGGGGGAGTCGGAGGAAGCGGAGCAGCAGAGGGGAGGGGAAGGGGATGCAGTGGAGGTGGTGGGGTTGCTGCGCCTGCTGCTGTGCGGGCTACCAGCAGACGAAGACCACATCGCTGTGCTCGCAGTGCTACAGCAGACCCTTACCAAGCTGAATCGGGGAGCTGCTGAAGCCGCTGAATCGTCTAGGCACAAAGGTTCACGTGGTGGTGGCGGTACACAGAGTACGGTTCCTCTGCTGCTGCTGCCGCTGCTCCACCTCCTCTCCTTCCCATCGCCTGCCCTCAAGCAAGATGCAGCTCGTGCTATGAATGCCTGCCTCGCTGTTACTGCCACTGCCACTGCCACTGCCACTGCCACTGCCACTGCCACTCAGCCTCTCCTCTCCTCGTCCCTGTCACCCTCTGCTGGATCTGCCAGTAGTAAGCATGCTGCATCAGACCAGCAGCAGCTGTGGCACATGCGGCAGCAGCAGCAGCAGTGGAGACACGCAGACCTCTGGCACACACGTCAGTATGCCCACCTCTTCACCTGCCTCACCTCCTCCCAGCCTCATACATTTTCCTCTCGCTATCCAGTCGCAATCGCCTCGGCCCAACGGCAGCGTGGCACGTGGCACTCGCCGGAAACCTGGGCAAATGAGCCTGTGCCACGTCAGCATGACCTCGCTGGGTCCTCCCCAAGCGCAGACGTGGATGATGAGCTTGCTGACGTGGCAAAGTCGCTGGCGCTTTCAGACGGGAGAAGCACGCTGGCAGGAGCACCAGGTGGGGTGCATGGGTGCCACGTGTCAGGCTCTAATAGGTGGCTTCTGGCGCTACAGCAGCAGCTGAATCAGATCCGGAAAGAGACAGTGAGAAAGGCAGGGAGGGAAACATCAGCAGGCAGTGGCATGAGTCAATCACTGATCCTCTCACTCGCAGCTCTCCTCCTCCCACTCACTCACACACACACACACACATGCACATGCACATGCAAAAACGCAACCATACACGTACGCGCGCGCGCACACACACACACATACATACATACACCCCCAGAACCCAGCACACAACCGCACACAGGTCTCACACAACCACACCATCCCAACCCCCTCCTCCCCACCCGCCATCCCTCGTCCCCCCTCGTCGCCCCTTCCAATGACTCACACACACATGCACACACACGCGCACGCACGCACACACACACGTACCCACTCACTCACCAGCGCTATTCCCATCAAACGAACACCACTTGAACCGAAGATTGCCAGTTCCTGCCACCGAGATCACCCCTCCCATGCTCCATGGCACACGGTTGTTCCGGAAGACACAGTTCACAAAGGTCATAGCAGGCACGTTCCCCTGGGAGTTCCCCCAATTGATGTTGATTGCCACTGTGTTGTTGCGGAAGTTGCATAGTGTGAAGAAGCGACTGGGAGGTGTGACTGTTGCAGGGAAGGTGTCACTGGTGGGTTGGGGTGGGTGGGGATAGAGGAGAATGTGGTGTGCCTTGCTATGGGCGGTGCGGCGAGGGAAGATATTGGAGTGATGGCTGTTGCAGGGACGGATTCGCTGGTGGGTTGGGAGACAGGGAGGGAGGGACGGGTGGGGTGGAGGGCAGTGGAGAGTGTGAGAGGGAATAGCGGGCATCAATCACGGATTGCTGAGAAGAGGCGGTAGGTAGGGGTGTATGGTGGGAGTTGCTAGTGGGTTGCGTGGGGATGGCAGGTAATTTAGAGTGTGGGAGGGAATAAGGAGAACTCCCAGGGGACCGTGATTGGCGATTCACCGAACCATCAATCACGGTTTGTCGTCAAGTTGCTTGTGTGGATTCTCAAAAGTAGGTGAGGGACAATGGAATGTGCGACGGAATAGGGGGGCTATTAGTCACCGTTTGCGGTTGCGTTGCCGTGTAAGGTGCAGCATGAGACGACTTGAAGAGCACATCAGATCAGCATGCTATATTTTGATGCACCATGCTTCCATGCGCCAGACACTCTCTCACATGAACTTTACTTACACACTTTCATTGCACACCATGCACACTTTCATTGCACACCATACACACTTTCATTGCACACCATGCACACTTTCGAGTGCACACCCACACACACTTTCAAGTGCACACCACACAAGCTTTCAAGTGCACACCACACACGCACTTTCACGTGCACTACACACACACTCACCACCCCTCCCTTTCCCTCATCTCCCTCCCATCACCCTCACCTGAGAACCGCTGCGCTAAAGCGAGGAGCCGTGTTGTCGACGAAGTCGCATCGAGTCATGTTGATCGCTGTCCGAACGTTGAGAAAGATGCCTCCTCTCGACTCCTGAAAGATGAGGTTGACCAGAGTTAGCATCCCCCCGGTGGGGCCGGACGAGGGGGAGGTGAATATGGGCAAGGTGCCCCCGGATATGTAGCAGCTGGTGTTGGGGAGGGAGGGGGAGATGGTGCGCGAAGATAGAACAGCGGAACAAAAGCGGGTTCGAGAGAGAAGGGAAGAGGAGATGGCAGCGCAGAGAGGTTTGATAAGAGCAATGGCGATGCAGTGAGCAGCGGCAGCAAAGGCAAACAAGGGGGCATTGCTAGTGTGGCTTTTTCAGGCGTCTCAAAAGTCGTTGCAAGTGTGGCTGAGACGGTTGCGAGCTTGCTTCATTGTTTGCCAACCAGACTGCCACTGCACCCTATATTTGATAAACCTATTACACGCCTGGCATCCCTAGTATTACTCGTCTGGTAAGACTCTCTGGGTAAGACTACCATAACTTCCAGTGGCTGTGATAGTAACTGCAACCTTCTTGTGACCGTACCAGCCCCACTAGGGTCTGGTTCACCCATCTGACCCACTGAAACTACCATCCCCAGATGACCCTGGTTCCCAGATAATCCCACTACCCTCCTGGTACAGCAACCAACTGGTAGCACCCACCTGGTAACCCCGATAGTACCAGAATTCCTACACGCGCCCCTGACGATCAGCTTGGCTGCACCTGAGAGTGCGGGGAGGGGGCTGTGGGAGGCGAGGGGGGAGGAAGGGGAAGGGGGATGTCGTTTGGGGTAGCGGGAAGAAGAAAACATCCTGGGAAGTAGGAAAAAGAAATTATTTTTAGTTGACTTAACTCAATCAAGGGGCGAGAGAGAGTGGGTCGAAATGGTCTGATAATGCACATAGAGCCTGCTTGATGGCATGAGAGGCGTGGTGCGTCTCCATGGTGCAACCCTACCTTGATTTTTGTTTTCTTGGACTTAAGTGCGTAGAAAACTAAACAGTGTTCGTGGCATGAGGTGGCGAGCGCACGACGTGGCGAGACGGGACATGTGCAGGCGAGGATTGATGAGGAACTTACTGGTATGATGAGATTTACACGCTGGAGGTGAGATTGAGCTCAGTGGGCGGCGCGACTGCTCCTCCCTGTGGTCACGCCAGTGGACGCAACACACACACGGGTGAACGGGAAAGTTGAGCTAACCCCGTCAAATCTTTCCTTACCCACTTGTACAACTAGGCTAACTGCCAGTTGAATCAATGAAAAAAACATTTATGTATATTCTGATTTTTGCATCGCCTTGACCTGTGCTCCCACCCTCACCCATACTACCCACAACCTGCTGAAGCACGAACTATTGACGACAAACACGCGGAAAAAGCATGCGTAAGCAAAATAATCTTTATCTTTCGCGAACACATAAAAACGAAAACGTATGCGGAAGGTGATACAACACGCGACGAGCCTCGTGCTCCGAGCACGCCTTACTAGTAGTGATTCACCATTCGAAAACAATCACATCGACAGATTTTCTTGCTACTTGGTTTGGCTGGAATCGGGTTCACGTGGATGCGTCGTTTCAACTGGGAGGCCGCTAATGTCCCTGTAGGTCACCTTATCGGCATGTTGTGACTTACGATAGTTTTGGACCAGCTACTGAAGGGTTCTCGAGGCTGGTTGTTGTACCTTGAAGGTACTACTTATGTGATGAATGTGCGCTAAAATCGCAGCACGACGTGATACCTATCGGTTTGCAGAAATCCTTCGCGCTGACACGCTACAGTGAAGTGCAAGTAGGTACATGATCATGCTTACTCACCTAGGGTTTTCACGGGGAAATAGAGATGACGTGCGTACCGCATTCGCCAGGAGGATGGCATCTTTAAGTGTCAACTCTGGGGACGCCGCGACAGCCGAGTCTGGACCGCAGATCATCCCAGTGACTAGCGATGCGACGATGAAGGAAATGATGTGATGGTGTGCTGTGATTGGTCTGTCATAACCCATCCTGAGCCTGAAGGCCTAGTAACCGAATAGGCGCCTGAAGAGAAGAGAGGCAAAGTCTCGTGACGCGGAGTCAATGCTTCGCGCTTATTGTGCTCTAGGAGGAACTATCCCTGCTTGAGAAAATGTGAGTGACCTAGTAGAGAGAATGTGCAAGAACTTCGAGAACACACAAACGCGTCTGTACCTTTTGCGTACTGAACCATTTATCTTCATCGCGGCTTGCTCAATCGCTAGGGCGCAACCTTGGGTTCATTCCACCGCATCGCAGGGTTTGCACCTGCCTAGCGCCACGCCGCGAAGGGCGGCCAAGGGATTGGGACGGGACGGGAGGGTGCATCGAACATGCGCCCCGATGTCTGTCGACGCGACGCAAGCTACGGAACGGACGTTGACCGTCGATCGTCACGGGATGCTGGGCACTCTCGGCACTCTGAACACGCGCTGGCGCCTGTGCGGAACGAGGATTGGTTGAATGGTCGCGCCAGCCATGCCATGGCTGAACATGGTGTTGATGACCTGGCTCCCACCTGAAGCTTCTACCTGGCATTTGCGGGTAGCAGGAACAACTCGCGGTTATCACGGCTGCCCCGAATTTGCGTGTTTTGTAATGAGCAGTGCAAATCTTGACACAGCTCAGTCCAGAGGCCTTCATCTTATGGTGGTTACCGAAAAGAACATAGATACTCTCAAATACCCTACCCAACTATTCTATATACAGAATGCAACTCTAGAGAACTCATTAAGCTACGTTGAGTCTCCTTAGAACGGACTTTTGAAACAACCACTAAGGGTGTGTGCCATGCTTTATTATTGCTGGAGAAGGAAGCACCAGCTTCACTGATATTTTAATTAAACAGATAGTGTTTCACCAAGCTATGGTAAAGGAACAAGAACATTAATAAAAAGCAGGCCTATGTTGTCCAGGTAAAATATCAGGATACCCTGATTTTCGGAGAATGGCCTGTCAAGGCACAAAGATCTAACTTCATATGTAAACTCAAAGGCTAGTTAGAGTTGGACTATAAATGGTACATGTTTGCATATATTTGTATATCTTTTCACGCTAGTGCACTCCTTATTTCTTAAGATGGTACCAGAATTAGGTTTCGGTCAACTGCTTCGCCGTGCCTACCCTACCTACTCAAGTAACGCCCCCCCTAGAGTTCCCTCCTACAGCACCCCTAACGCGCCCTCCTAGAGCGCCTCCGTCGATAGCAACTTAGAGCGCCCCAATCGTGGCCCCAAAAACGCCCACATCGTGTTAAGAATTAACAAGCACTAATGGTGTAAACTATCAAGAGAGTTGGTACAAGTACAAAACCTAAAGGGGTTGTACCGTACCCCATGTTGGCTACCCCACTATAGCCTACCCATTATACCATAGCATATATATAGTTTGACACACCCCCATAGGCACAGTGGGGGAGAACAAAGGGTCACAAGACTAGTCAAGAAAAGCAATGCAAGCTCAGGGTGGATCACAACGTCACCACACACTTCGAGCACAAGCAAAAGGGCCATAAGGCCAGTTCATATGCAGAGGTATATATGCAACAACAACAGTACCGTGATCACTACCTAGCAAGAGTAAACATGCAGGTAGATATATATAGACAACAGTACAACCAAAGTCTACAGAAAATGAGGAAACGTAGGCACCAGGCCTAGAGCAGTGCAAAAGCGCTGATGATCACCAGCCGGAAGGGCCTTGGTGAACACATCAGCCGTGTTCGTCCGGGTGGGCACGTGGGCGACACGAAGCTGACCACGCTGCTGCAACTCTCGAGCAAGGAAGTAACGCAGAGCGATGTGCTTCGTTCTGTGCTCCAGTCTGTGGTCTTGACACAAGGCAATGGCAGCCTTGTTGTCGACGTACAGAACTGGAGGAGAACAAGGCCTCTCTCCCAAGTCGGCCAGCAGGTAGGTGAGCCAGCGTAACTCCTATGCAGCCATGGCTGTGGCGTAGATCTCAGCCTCACATCTGAAGCTGAGAACAGAAGACGAGCGGGTAGACCGCCAAGAAACAGAGCCAGAGCCAAGGCTGAACGTGTAACCCTGTGACGACCGCTGCGTAGCCAGGTCGTCAACCCAAGAAGCGTCTGAGTGCCCATTGAGGACAACTGAGCTCCGCCCTCCAAGCACGAGCCCCATGCCCGATGTACTGCACAAGTAGCGCAGTACCCTCTTCGCAGCATCGAAGTACACCTTTCGGTGCCTACTAGGAGCCACGTTGCGTGCCAGAAGGCCAAGAGGGTACGCAAGGTCAGGACGAGTGCAGGTCATCAGGTACATGAGGCAGCCCACTAGCTATGGGTACGGACCACTCGGCTCTACGGACTCGTCCGAAGGTGGAGCTGAGAGCGAGTGACCTGTAGCCAGGGGAGTGGACTGTAGCGAGGACCAAGTGAAGCCGAAGCGCTGAAGGACCTGCTGCACCATGTGTGGCTGAGTCAGTGTCATGGTGCGCCGTGCTCTGTCTCGGGTGATCTGCAGGCCAACGTAGCTGCGCAGCTTACCCAGGTCTGTGCACGTGTGTCTCTTCTGCAGCTCCGACTTCACAAGGGCGAGAGCCTCAGTGTCAGCAGTGGCAAAGATCAAGTCGTCGACGTACACGAGGATGTAGAACGGCGGCAACGAAGTGTCGGTGAGCAGAAACAGCGAAGGGTCAGCAGTGGAAGGTGCAAACCCAAGAGTCGCAAGTGTCGTCCTCAGTGTGTCGTGCCACTTACGAGGCGCCTGACGGAGACCGTAGACTGGCCGGCGGAGGCTCCACTGAGTACTAGGAGGGAACAACCTAGTGAAGCCAGGTGGGCGGCGCAGCCAAATCTCCTCGTGCAGACTGCCTTGTAAGAGCGCTGTGCTGAAGTCCAGAGAGTGAAGCTCGTAGTCACGCTGAGCGGCAATGTGCAGCAGCACCCAAAGAGTGGTCATCTTCGGGGTGGGGGAGAAGGTCTGATCTCCTCGTGCAACGTAACGAGCCTTGACGACAGGCGGAGAACCCGGCGGCTGCTTCACCCTGAAAATCCACATGTCGTCGATGGCGTTCGCCCCAAGAGGGGGAACTGCATCGACATAAGTGCCT